CGGGGAAGGACAAAGATCAGTCACTTCTGAGAAACAAACTCCAAATAACCCTTCCTTGACTTTGCTTAGTATAAGTTGGGGTAGGGAGAAACCTGGGCAGGCTTTCAAGATGGATGTGTCTGGACCCTTGCCATGTTTCTTGACCTTGCCTACTTCAAAAGGTTGACACTTCTGGGGTGGGCAGAAGCCCTAATCTGCTTCACTGGCAAGGCAGAGAGGGGTTGCCACTGCAGTCAGTCAGTGTTTCTTTAAGCTGCCACTGATTTCTGTTGGCTCCTGTGCTGGAAAGCATCATCTTCAGAAACAAAACTCTGGGGTGGGCCAAATTGTGGCTAAGGTATTGAGAAAGTACAACTCTTGCAACAGTAGATTTTGCACACATCTAGAAATGGATGCTTAGAGCTGTAGGTAACTGTAGATCAGTCCTTTAACCACAGTTTGACTCAAGGTACAGGTTCATACTACATACTACACTTCTGAATAATCTGTTCAGTGTCTTGTGTGAATGCAGCCAATGGCCTTTGAGGGGGGTCGAGGCCTACCAAGGCAGGCATTACCGTTTCCGTTGGGCCTGCCTCTGGTTTCCCATTCCTGGCTGATACTGGAGGGCCATCGTAGGGCCTTGGATGGGCACCCAGACATGGCCCTGATGGAAAGATAATGCTCCCCCTTTAATGCACATTAATGGTGGTTTGGGTTGGGGCAGAAATACCTCCCCGAGCTCCAGATGAGAACAAGGGCTTGCTGGTCCCCCAGTTTTCCATGTGTTGAAAGAAAGATGCTGGCCTGTATAGATTGGTCAGATCCTAGTTTGTTTCAGGCTGAGTTGCTTTGATGCTGGGGCTGCTTGTTCTCATAAACACAAAGGGAAAGCCTGGAGAATGACATGGATGCTTCTCCTCTTCTTTGTCTGCTTCCTCTAAACTTAAAGCACAAGGCTGAACACATGATTTGCCTTTCTTGGCCTCTTCCTCTCTTCAGGCAGCTCGTAGCTTTTATTATTTGTGGACGTTCAAAAGCTGCAGGCAGGCATCAGCCTGGTGCCTCAGGCCCTCTCCTGTGACCCACTTCCTAGCGCCAGGGCTCCAGGTAGTGAGAGCGGCTGAAAGGAAAACAGGACACGGCTTTGGTCTAAGTCTGCAATGGCTCCTTGGCCAAAGCCTTGAGGATCCCCCTTGCTGGAGGGGGCATTGGCTGCTCGAGGGATCATCTGAGAAGAGTTCTGCCCAAGCCCCAGCGAGGAATGACTCTGAAATTCTCCAAGGCAGGCAGTCTCCCGAGGATCGTACTGGTTGTACTAGTTGGCTGAGATTTCTTCATAGCAGTCCAGCCTATAACCCTGATATTTCTTGGAGGTCTCCCATCCAGGTACTACCCAGGCCCAACCCTGCCTAGCTCCAGCCCACCCCGCAAGGTCAGCCAAGATCAGTCAGGTGCTGTCCCGAAATCGGACCTTCTACTCTAGCATCTTCAAAAGTGCTTTTTGGAAAATTAGTATTACCTCCCACATACTGTGATCCTATCTGAATTACCTAGACCACAGATGTGGCTGCCGGAGGGTTCGCTTTGCCCTCGGCTAACACAATGCTTGCAACTAAGGAGGTGCCCAGAGCCTGACGCCTCCCTCCTTTAAGAGCCTCTCCCTCCTCCCCCCGGGCTGCTTGTGGCCCCAGAGCCAGGTACCTGTGGGCAGTTCCAAAGCTCCTGTAGGTATTCCTGCGGCAAAAGAGGAGAGCGTGGCGGTGAGTTGCTGGGAACTCCAGAGGGCGGAGGAGCAGCAGCTCCAAGGTAAGGGGACGCGCAGGGACGGTACCTACACGGTGTTGTATGGAATGGGCTTCGGTCCATATCGATCCAGGCTGGGATTCTGATTGAGGCAATACTAGGAGAGCGGTAGAAGAAGTTGCCTTAAGTAATCAGCTGCAAGGAAGTTAAAACTGAGGACATCCTTAGTTTGGGGTGTGCGCCACTCTTCTCCCCCTCCCCCTTTCTGTGAAGTGCCCACCTCTTCCTGCAGTCAGGCACGGACCCACTGCAGAGGGAGCCAAGGAGCTGGAGGGGAGTGCCAGAGGCTCCCCTTGGGCTCCAGCCTGCCACTTTCCTCCTCTGGGCCTCCCCTGCATTTGGGAGGCTTGCAGGGTACCTGTGCAGACATGTTTGGGCTACCAGCCTCAGGTCAGAACTTTGGATGCTCCCTTGTCAAATAGCATTTAGACTTTTCCACTGCTAAGATCCCTGGCAATGTCTTTCTGATATTTTGGACATGTTGGAGCATTTGAATTTCGCAACATAGTCCAAAGCAATTAAACATTCATTGCTGTGCCTTCAGTTCTGCTTAGGACATGGTGCAAATTGTGTTGCTGATTACTTAGGACTCAGCTGTTTTTGGGCAGGTGCGCACACACTTTTTTCATTAAAAAAAAACAATTTTGTTTCCTCCAAAATCTGCAGGGGACAAAACAATACAATTACCAGAACAGGGGTTTTTTTCCCCATAATTTTTGATAGGTGTATTTTTAATAGCTGCATTAAGCTATGTTTAGTGAGTTGGGATTTTGAGCAGGGGCTTCTCATTTAAAAAGATTTTTAAATGTGTGAATTATTGTATTTTCCTTCCCCAAATTGACAGCATAATCCTGGCCCATTGTGACAGAGAGTAGCTTGAAAAATGTAAACCTGATAAATAAATAAATAAAATAAAAATGTTCCATCAAAACATTAGGATCTAAATCTTGGACTCAAGTTCCCATTGTCGTCTCAGCAATTCTTTGGTTAACAGAGCACCTTCCGGGTCCTGAGACAACTAAACAAACCGAGATGTAGGAAATGTTTCTGGGCTGCCACCACTATCGCTGCCCTTCCTCTTACGGAGTCAAAGGCCCAACAGCTGGACTGAAAACCAAATTCCTTTTTCTACCAAGTTCCCCCAAACCACCTTGCGATAATCCCTTAATCACAATCAAGTCTGGGGGTCTCCTGGCACAGGGTCCCCTTTGCCCTTTTGAAAAGCCTTTTAAAAAATGTCCTTTGAGCACCCCCCTCCCCCGGAACAAGACTGACCTCCTCCCCTTGCAGGAGCGCTTCTTGCTTACCCGCCAGGTTTGCGTGACATCTGGTTTCAAGTATCTCACAGCGTAACAGCTGAATCCAAGAACTGAGAAGAAAAGAAAAAAGAAAAGAAAAGGCGTTAGTGGGCAGTGTTCGCAGGGTTGGCGCATCCAGGCAAGCAGTCTGTGCTCAGGCTTGTGGGAATGGGGGATGCTGAAGGACTCAGGCGAGTAGCTCCCCTGGCGATCCTCTCCCCTGGCTCGGAGGGGAAGCTGCCTGTGGAAAGCAGGGGCACCCCTAGGAAACCCCGCGTCTGCTAACAGCTCCCAATCACTCAAGAGACAGGTCTGACTCTGATTGCATGGTTGTGGCTGCCATCTTGACTTTTTTGACCACTGACCCCCACCCAGGCCTGCCCTGCTGTACATTAAGGAGAAGGGTACATTAAGGAGCTGGGGAAACCTTCCGCCATGGGTGGCAGAAGAGGAGGAGGAAAATGGCCACTTTTGATGCCAGTTCTCCATCCCCCCCACCCCAAATGCTCACTGGCCCCAAAGGAGGCGTCCCCTCCTTTCTC